CCGGGATGGTGGTCTGGGTGCCTGTGGAAGTTCAGCAGGAGGCTGACCCCGCCCTGTGTGTCCTCTGCCCCGCGCCAGGAGGAGCAGCAGCGTCTGGCCGAGCTGTCCAGGTCCAGCAAGCACAACCTCTTCGGTGTACTCACGAGCCGCTTGTGGCCTCGCCCCAAACAGCCCTGACCTCGGGCCTCCTCAGACTCAGTGCCCGGTCCCTGGGCCCCCCGCGTCCCCCGCCAGGCTCGGGTAGCCACAGGCCCAATAAAGTCCATCCCAGATGCCACACCCTGTGTCCGGAGTCTCCAGCCTGGGGCCCTGCCCCTTAGTGGGGATGGGTGCAGGTGTTGGGGGCTTCTCGGGAGGGCCGCTGCCGTGCACCCGTGGGAAGGGGGGCCTGCAGGGGCTGCTCTGAAGACTTTGCAGTCGAAGCTAGAAGACGGACGTGGCACGGCAGATCTACCACCGACTAGATTTCGGCTTGCGCTGAGCCAGCTGCGGTTCCTGCAGACTTCTGGAAGTTTCTTCTCACTCTAGGGAAGCGGCCTGCATAATGGAAGAACCGAATTTGCTTTCTTTCAACTCATTTTCTCTGTGTGCAGAGGTGAGGGGTTGCTCAGAGGGCTGTGTGCTGCCGGGGCGGAACCTGGGGAGCGCCGCCCCCTGCCCTCCATGCTGCAGCCGTGTGGGTGTCCACGTTTAAACCCCAGCTCGCCTGCTTCCCGTGGTGCATCCAAGGGGACTCTGCCCCTTTCCCCTACCTGCTTCCAAGCCTAAACAACACTGCCCCTACCTCTCAGGTGAGTTTAGGGGCGAGGCAAGCCCCCACACCTCATCAAGCTGCGTCTGCCTCGGTCTCCTGTCTCTTCACCATGTCGGGGGGAGAGCTCTTGGGGTTCAGGGAAACCTTTCGGGTGCAGACTTCCTGTCCCATGTGCCCGAAATTCTCAGCCCCCAGGCACACAGCCCCCACCCCGCCACCACCAGCATTTATGGCTTGTGCCTGGGAGATGGTATCTTTTTTTTTTTTTCCTTTTTGGGTCATACTTGGCAATGCTCAGGGGTTACTCCTGGCTCTGCACAAAGGAATTACTCCTGGCAGTGCTTGGGGGACCATATGGGATGCTGGGAATTGAACCTGGCCTGGCTGCGTGCAAGGCAGACACCCTACCTGCTGTGCTATTGCTCTAGCCCCGGTTGGTATCTTCTGGCTTTGGTCAGGATCACTGGGGATCCAGCCAGGGTCTGGGGTCTGCTATGTGCAAGGTGAGCTCTTTCTCTGCTGCTGTACTGTCTCTCCAACCTGAAGAGTCCTTTTTTTTTTTTTAAAGCCCTTACCTGGTGTTAATTAAAAATGTATTTGAAACTGTGGGCCAGATAGAACCTCTGAACTCCAGGCGGCTTTCTGAAAATAAAGTTTGTGCCTCGCTCCCCTGGTCTAATCTACCGGAGAGCGTCCTCATATCCTCTGTAAGTTGGGGTTGGGGGAGAGCCCTGCCTTCTGCTCCATGTGGTCTGGGGAAATGGACGATGGGTTTTGCTGAGCACCGTGGGGATAGTCCTGTGTGGGGTGCAAAAGGCAACTCTGGAAAGGATTCCAGAGCCGGGTTCTGACCCCCTGGAGTTCCAGGTGCATCCTTGTCTCATTGCTGGACATAGTGCCTGGCAGGCCGTGTCCACCGAGGGGTGTGGATTCAGAGCAGTGGGCGCCCGAGACACCTGCCCTCACTGAGCTCGGGGTCTCCAGGGGACACGGGCAGACTCAGACAGTGCATGGATTGCGTGGAGTGACTCGGGGAGTTGGGGTGCTTTGTAATTTGGGGCAGGGGGTTGCTCCTAGAACCTGTACTTCAACCCTCACTCCCAGGGGCTGTTTCAGATAGGAGCAGCCTCAGACCAGCTGCAGAGGGGCCTGAATGCACCACAGGTCACCTCAGGGCCTTTGCATTCACCCCAGGAATGTGTTTTTCCTACAGTTCACAGGATACCCCCTCCCCTCTCAGTTCTGTCTCTTCACCCAGCACCTCTGAGAGCTCTGGGAGAAGGGAGAGAGCCCTGACACCCCTTAAAATCCACTTCACACCTACAAGTACAGTAGCTGGGGGAAATAAGCCTGCGCTCTTGGCTCTGGGTAAGGTGGAGAGCTTCTCCAGGCCGGGAGTTGGCTGCCCCCCCGCCCCCAGCTGCCTCTAGTAGCAGCTCCAATTCCATCTGAGCCACCCACCCCCTCCACCGGAAACACACTTCACCTGTCTTAAGTACAGACCTTCTTGCCTCCACGGAGTCTGGTTCCTGCTCAGTCAGTCTGCGCAGGGGCTGGAGTGATGGTGAGGCTTCAAATGTCAGCCTTAGAAGGGCCAGAGTTGGGGTTGGAGCAATAGCACAGCGGGTAGGGCGTTTGTCTTGCACACGGCCGACCCGGGTTCGATTCCTAGCATCCCATATGGTCCTCTGAGCACTGCCAGGAGTAATTCCTGAGTGCAGAGCCAGGAGTAACCCCTGTGCCTTGCCAGGTGTGACCCAAAAAGCAAAAAAAAAAAAAAAAAAAAAAGAAGGGCCAGAGTCATAGTACAATGGGCAGGGCATTACTTTGCACACAGCTAACCTGGGTTTGATCCCTGGCATCCTATATGGTTATTTGATCACTGCCAGAAATAGTGCCTGAGTTCAGAGCCAGGAGTAACAGAGTGTCAACATTAGAAGACAGAATATATTCTGATGGCACTAGGGAACCATGGAAGAATCTAGCAGGAGGACCCCATATGGGGTGTGGGGTAGAGGAAACACAGGGAGGTCCCAGTCCCCTTGTCCGAGAGAAGTGAAAGCTAAATGGTGACCTGGGACTAACGGGAACGCGGCATATGACAAGTTGAGGGAAAACCTGACTTGGTGGATGAGTCAGCTTTCTCTGACTTCAGTTCTCAGAATCTTCTGTTCATTCATTCATATGTGATGCTGGGGAATCTAACTCAAGTCAGCCATTTTGAGGCAAGCACCCTAGCCACTGTACTCTCCAACCCTGACTCAAAATGTTTATTTTAACCCTTCATTAAAAACGCCTTGCAGGCTAGAGTGATAGTGCAGCAGATAGGGCACTTCCCTGGCATGTGGCCAACCTGGTTTCAATCCGCAGCATTCTATATGGTCCCCCAAACACCACCTTTAGTGATCCCTGATTGCAGAGCCAGGAGTAACCCCTGAGCACTGTCCAGTATGGCTCAAACAAAATCCTTTGCTTCAGGGACTAGAGATTTGGTTTGATTCTCTGGAAGGGCATGTTTTTGCATGCAGGAAGCCCAGTTCAAACTCTAGCCCCTCATGACTTCTGGGCATCAAGTAGGGAGTAACCTCTTAGCAACCATAGAATAAGACCGCTGCTCCCCCAAATATCCCTCTAAAAATCACTGAAGTGGGGGCTAGAGCAATAGTACAGGGGGTAGGCGTTTGCCTTGCATGTGGCTGACCAGGGTTCAATCGCCAGCATCCCATATCGTCCCCTGAGCACTGCCAGGAGTAATTCCTGAATGCAGTGCCAGGGGCAACGCCCTGAATGTCGCTGGGTATGAACCCAAAAAGCCAAAAAAATAATCACTCAGATTGGGGGTGAGGTTCAGTGATGAGAGTACTTGACTTGCATGTGTCCTTATGTACGCAGAGACAGAAGTGTACCTGCTTTAGCCTAGTTCTTGAGAAATTTGTAGGACTGGGAGGAACACACAGGGCCAAAGCCTGAATTCAATCCCACCACTGCAGGGAGGAGCCGTTACCAGGCAGAAATGGAGCATGCATTATTAAACCTAGGCTTGTGGGGGGGGGGGGGGACGGGGGGGGGGGGGCAATAGTACAGCAGATGGAGCATTTGCACTCTGCGGACCTGGATTCAGTTCCTGGCATCCTATATGGTCTATAATTCCTGTGTACAGAGCCAGGAGTAACCCCTGAACATCACTGGGTGTGGCCCCAAAACAAAAATCTATAAACCCAGGCATGAGGGAAGGAAAGAAAGGAATCTGTAGCACGCTCTGAATGTGCCATTTCTCTCCATCTGAAGGGCTCTGCGCATTGGGGCCGGAGAGTTAGTACAGCAGGTCGGTCGCTTGCCTTCCCCGGCACCACATGTGATCATCAGGAGTGATTCCTGAGCATCGCCGGCTGTGGCCCAGAAAATGTCAAATAAAGGGGTGCGCTCAGCGCCTGACTGCGGAGATCAGGACCACCGGCTGCAACATCTGCTCCACACCATGGGGCTCAGGGAGGGCCGGGAGGGCGGGGTGCCTCTTCCCTATTCAGCCTGGAGCCCGGCAGCGGCCCCCTGAGACGCGGAGACGGAATTTCCTGCCCATTTGCTCCTCACACCTTCCCAGGGCCAAACGGGCAGCCGGGCTGCGGGCGCGGGGGTGGGGGGAGTGGGGGGCGCCGGCAGATGGCCGCATTTGCATACAGCTGGGTGCCTGTCGGCTGGGCGGAGGTTCCTCAGCACGGCTTTGTCTCCGGAGGGAACAGCCCATGAGCACCGGCCCTCAAAGAGCACCCCCCGTCGGCACCGCCGCCAGCACGCGACCCCCATGGACCGCCCAGTCAGCATGGGCACTGACACGCCCACACACAAACACCTAGAGAAATGGGCACAGACCACGGCTTCTCCGGTTCTAGGACTAGCTCAGTGGCCCAGGACCTCACACTATCACGTCCAGCCACACGCCCTCCAAGCCACACAATGAGGCCACGGACAGCTCTGCTCTGCATCAGGAAGCCAAGCCCCGACACGCGCACACGCACTCAGAGAAGCCACGCAGCCGGCGCGCGCGGCGACCCGCTACCCCGTGCAGCAGCCGCACACACAGTCGACCACCCCCCCCCCCCACCCCGCTACCGGCCGCGGCTGCACGCACCCCGCCCCTGCCCGCCTCTCCCCTGCGCCCCGAGCCCGCAGCTGCGCGGAGGGGCGGGGCCTCCCGCGGGTATAAGGCGGCCCACCCGGTCGCGGTGGCCCCCAGACCCCATAGGCCATGGTTGCCCCGCGGACCCCCCAGAGCTGCTTCCAGACGGTGATCCTGGCGCTTATTTTCCTCCCCCAGGTCAGAGCTGAAGGTGCAAAGCGGGGGGTGGCGGGAGGCGGGGCGAGGAGAGGCTGGGAAGGGGCTGGGAAGGGGCTGGGGCGCACCTGGGTCCCCGCGGCCCCCTCACTCGTGGCTGCTTCCCGCCCCAGGCGCTGCCCGCGGGCGTCTTCGAGCTGCAGATCCACTCTTTCGGCCCCGGGCCAGGCCCGGGGGCGGCGCGGTCCCCCTGCAGCGCCCGGGGCCCCTGCCGCCTCTTCTTCAGGGTCTGTCTGAAGCCGGGACTCTCGGAAGGAGCCGCCGAGTCTCCGTGCGCCCTGGGCGCGGCGCTGAGTGTACGCGGACCCGTCTACGGCGAGCAGCCCAGAGCACCCCGAATTGACCTGCCATTGCCTGATGGTTTCTTGAGGGTGCCCTTCCGGGACACCTGGCCGGTGAGAGCCCGTGGGTGCCTTACTCAAACCTTAACTTTCTGCCGTGTCCAATTACCAGGGTCCCAACTTGCTCCCCATCCTCACCCCAAATTACCAGAAGAGTAACTACCAACCGGAAGGCCACACTCAAAGACCCCTTAACTGTAAGATCCTAAACATGAGATTCCACATTCTCTGACTCCAATTTCCTTTTGAGCACCCCAAATTACCTGAACCTCAAACTTCATCCTTGTGAAATCCTAACTCACAGAACCTACTTCTGCTGCTTGGGGGACCCTAAACACTGAAACCCCCGTCTTTATCCCCAAATATGCTCACACCTTGGGACATGCCTCCCCTCCCATCTCCTTGTACTTTATTCAACTCTGCTACTCCACTTGGGGCCCATATTCATGACTCACTTCTCCAGTCCTATCTCCCACCCTGATGCCCCAGCGTTCAGAGATGCAGAGATGTGCATTAAAATTCCAGATCTTTGTCCTTTGTACTGTTTTTTTGTGGTTTCAGTTAACTCATCTGTAAAATGGGGCATGGGGCATCCCTTTTAGAGACTCAAAGTAAATGCCGCCAAAATGCCGCTGCTTCCCAGAACCCTTTCCTCCAGGGAGTGTCCCCTTCCAGGTCCCCAAATGGTCCTCCCTCCCCTCCCTCATCATCCCCTGACCTCCACTGCACATGCTTCTGACACCGTCCCCCTTTCCTCTCCCTGACTCCTTCCAGGGAACCTTTTTTCTTGTTATAGAAACCTGGAGAGAAGAAGGAGGGGAGCAGGTTGGAGGTGAGTGTCTTAGTCTGGGAACTGTGGAATCTGGGTGACCTCACAGTTGGTGCAGGAAAGGGACAGACACAGGGCTGTCTGGGCGGGGGGTGAGGAACGGGGGGAGTACTCCTGGGTTGTGACCCTCTGATTTTGAGGACATCTCAACATGGAAAAATCCTGGAGGCCGGGAGATGGCCCAAAGGACTGGAACGACTGCTCGGCATGCACAGAGCTCTGGGTTCAATCCCCAGCACACCATGGCCTCCTGAGCACTGCCTGATGCTCCCCAGCATTGTGTGGGGGGGAGAAAGCCCTCAAACAAAATCAAATACAAAATAGTTCTGGTTGGAGCTGGAGAGATAGTACTTGCATGTGACTGGTCCTGGTTCAATTCTGGGCACTACCACTGGGTCCCTGAGCACCACCAAGAGGAGTCCAGGCAGAGGCAAAGCCCCAAGCAGGTGCAGCCTGTCACCTCTGATTTTGAGGACCCTGGGGGCCTAACATGAGCTACATCTGGCTCTTCTCTATGAATCTATCCCCTGGTCCACAGGGACTATGTGGGTCCCCCGGGGGAAGGGGACAGTGTCACTGGACACTGACACCGAGGTTCAGGGTTGAGTAGGGATGATCTGATTCTTCCTTTGAAGCAGATTCCATAGCTTTGAAAGCCTGTAGTGGGGGTTCAGCCACCACTATGATAGAAGGATGTCCTGTGGCACTGTGCTGGGTGTCACTGCCCTGCTAGAAGGAAACAGCCCTGCAGTGACAGCCATCGATGGCCCAGCTGCTGGCACCTCTGTCATTTGTGAGGTGCTCAGGGAGTCCCAGGGGCACTTCCAGCGATTCTTTCTGGCCTCCAGAAGTTCAGTGCTTGGGTCCTGCCATGTGGGGACCACCAAGGCCATTCCAGCAGACACAGGAACCTCCAGCACTGCACCCAGCAGTGCTCCAGAAGCCATGAGGTATTGGGGATCTAACCCAGAGCACACTTACCCCCCATCATTCTGACCTTAGAAGATTGTGAGGTATGAATTGGGATGTAATAACCCTCCCCCACTACCCCCTTTCCAGAGCCCTGATACTGGGATGGGAGTGATAGTATAGCTGGTAAAGTATTTGTTTTGCATGAGGCTGACTCAGGTTCAATCTCTAGCACTCCATATATAGTCTCCTGAGCACTGCCAGGAGTGATCCCTGAGCACCTCTTGGTATGTAGGCCACGCAACCCAACCCCCCCACCCCGCAAAAAAAAAAAAAAATCCCTGATATTATCCTCGGTCGTACAGAGATCTCAGATGTCATAGGACACCAAGAGGCTTCACACTCCTTTAACATAAAGGTGTGTGGGGTCGGAGTGATAGCACAGCCGGTAAAGTTCTTTTCCTTGCACGAGGCTGACCTGGGTCCAATCCCCAACATCCCAGATGGTCCAAAAATGCTAAAAAAAAAAAAAAAAAAAAGATTCTGGAGACAAAATATGGACTTTGGGGCCTTGTTTGGAAGTTGCATCCAGTGGTCTCAAGACACTGTGGGGTTGGGGATCAAACCCCAGCCTCTGACATGTAAAGCATGTGCTCCAGTCTGATGAACCATGTCTCTGGCCCATTTTTTTCTTGCAGGTGGGAGCCACACCCTGATGTGCTCGGGGGCTGTTTCCTGCCTCTGTGCTCCAGAGTGACCCCTGGCCGTGCCATGGGAACTATATACCATGGCGGGGGGGGGGTTGAACTCACCTCACCCACATGCAAGACAAGCACCGTGCTTCGTCTCTCTCCACATACACACCCCAAAGCCTTTTTTGGGATTTCTTATGAAAGAACTTATTATAGGGATGCTAGGTGGGTAGGTGACATCAAAGGCCCATTAGTCTTTCTCATGCTGCTCACCTCCTCTCCCCGGATAAGGGTTTATTTGGGTGACAGGAGACCCGAATGTGGCCGTGGTCGGGTCCCCCCAGCACTGCTCGCTTCTCCCTGCAGGGCCGGCCTGGAGCTTGCTGGCGCGCGTGGCCGGCTGGCGCCGCCTGGCAGCCGGGGGACCCTGGGCCCGGGATGTGCAGCGCGCAGGTGCCTGGGAACTGCGCTTCTCCTACCGCGCGCGCTGCGAGCCGCCCGCCGTCGGGGCCGCGTGCGCGCGCCTCTGCCGCTCGCACAGCGCCCCCTCGCGGTGCGACCCGGGACTGCGCCCCTGCGCGCCGGCCGAGGAGGAGTGCGAGGACCCCCGTAAGTACAGCCTTCTACTTGTGGGATCCCCCACTTAGCTCACTCCCGGGCGCCTCTGCCCCCATCACAACCCAGCTACCTGAGAGTGCTTCTTTAGTACCCCACACACCTCGGATTTAGGAGGGCGCTGGCCCTTGTATCCCAGTTCCCCGCTCCAGCTCCTCAGGGGTCTCTGCTCCCGGCTATGATGCCTCCGGAGTTCTGGGGACTCCGGCCCCTCCCCAGACCCATTCTCAGCAACTTCCCATGACCCAGCTATGCCGTGGGGGGAAACGGAAGCCCCTAAACTCTCTTCAGCTCTTCCTGGGAACTCCAGCCCTTCCCTCTTTCCTATATTTTCATTCCCACTAGGAACCTAAACTTATCTTCCAACCCCCGTAGGAACCCAAACTTTTGCCCCTTAAAGATGCTCAAAGCTCTTCTAATTCTGGGGGTATTCTCTACAGTACCCCGACAGGAGCCTTAGAAATTCCTCTGAAAATACCAATTCTCCTTCTTTCATCCCTATGATTACATACCCCTTTGTGTGTGTGTGTGTGTGTGTGTGTGTGTGTGTGCGCGCGCGCGCGCGCATGCACGCAGATGCACACCACATCCCACAGTGCTCAGAACTTAGTCTGACTCTGAACTCAGGGGACCCTGGGGCGGGTATTGGGGATCCAACTCAGGTTGGCTGTGTGCACAGCAAGAGCCCTACCTGCCTATTGCTCTGGCCCCCTTCGCCTCCTAAAGCTTCCCAGCTTCCACTCCTCAATCCCCTCCCCAAATTTCTGAGTCCCAGAAGGCCTCAGGACTCTCAGACTTATCCTCTGATCCAAGACCCTCTTCCACATCTTCCCTGGTGGGGGCCTTTCCCCACCCCTGAGCCCTCCCCTCATCCTCTCTCCACACTCGATGGGTGGGCCCTACTCCAGACGCCTCCCAGAAGCATAGCTTTGGAGCCTCAGGGCTGACTTTAAGCCCTGCACTGCTGCTCCCTAGCAGGGCACACACCCTCCCCTCTCCTCTTTTAGCCTCAGTTTCCCTGTCTGTAAATTCGGGGTGGCAGCGCCATGTACCCAGACAGTTGCAGGTCCAAGGGGGGAGGCGTTGCTGAGGTGTCCGAATTCCCCCACATCTTCAGCTGCTGTTTTCTCTCCTCTTTTGGCCCACAGCTGTCTGCCGGCCCGGCTGCAGCCCTGAGCATGGATTCTGTGAGCAGCCCGATGAGTGTCAATGCCTGGATGGCTGGACAGGGCCCCTCTGCACCGTCCCTGTCTCCACCAGCAGCTGCCCCAGGGGCCCATCCCTTGCCAGCCCTGGATGCCTCAGCCCCGGACCGGGGCCATGTGATGGGAACCCCTGTGCTAATGGGGGCAGCTGCAGTGTCAGTATCACTCTCCTACCCTTCCAAACTGGGGGTTTCCGCCAGCCCTGTCAGGGCTCCCTAAGAAACAGCCCAAGGAAGGCGGCCTAGGGAACCCAGTTTGCACGAAGGCCTCCGGCAGGATTCAGTGGGGTGTGGAAACGGGAGTGAGGAGGTGGCAGGGGGTGACCCATAATGACCTCCATGCCCCTAGTCTGTGGGGTGAGAACAACTCAGGGCTCCAGGAGGGCTGGAGGGCCAGGCATCTGGCTCTGGGGGCACTTTAGAGGCTCCCCAGTGATGGCCCAGACCTGGTGCTTATATAGCCAGTCTTGGCTGAGTGGAAGTGGGGGCAGTGAGTGGCCGTTGCAAAGCACAGGTGTTTTGGAGACCAAAGCCTGGTGTGTCCTGGGATCAAATAGCTCAAGTCTGGCCACGGGGGGGGGGGGGGGGGACTGTGAGACACACTTAGGGTTCAGCTAGGTCAGGACCCAAGAAGGCTCATCAGAGGGTTGGAGCCATAGAACTACGGTGCCAGACCTGGGTTTGATCCCCAGCATCCCATGTGGTTCCCAGAGCAATTCCAGGAGTAATTCCTGGACGCAGACTGGGTGTGGCCCAATAACTACAAATAAAATAAAATGAAAGAAGGGTTATCAGAGAAGACAGCGTGGAAGAGGAGGGCTTAGAGCCAGGAGTTGGAAGCAGGAAGTGGCTTTAGGGCCGGGACTGGGGAGGATGGAGCAGGCTGGTGGATTCTGGTAGGCCAAGTTGGAGAGGTGGGAACGGGATTCCTGCGGGGGGGGGGAGGGGACTTCCCAAGAGACACCCCAACCATGACCAGCCCCCCTCAGTGAGGGAGACGGAGAAGGGGCTTGGGGTTTTGCTCCCCAGAGTTCCCCCTCCCGCATCCGAAGTCCTCTTGCGTTTGCCTTTGCCCAGGAGACAGCGGCGTCCTTCGAATGCGCCTGTCCCCGGGGCTTCTACGGGGCGCGCTGCGAGGTGAGCGGGGTGACCTGTGCTGATGGGCCCTGCTTCAATGGTGGCTTGTGTGTAGGGGGTGCAGACCCCGATTCTGCCTACATCTGCCACTGTCCACCGGGCTTCCAAGGCTCCAATTGTGAGAAGAGAGTGGACCGCTGCAGTCTGCAGCCTTGCCAGAATGGTGAGGGAGGAAAACACCCGAGGGAGGGAGGGTGGGCCTGGGCATGTGGCTTGGTGGGGGGGGGGGTGGCCCACAAAGGGGGCTGGCCTAGAGTGGGCGTGGCCAATCGAGGGGCGGGGCAGAGCCCTGTCAGTCAGGGCTGAGCTACCAGGTTCTGCTTTTCCATGGCTGTGACCTGTCCCCTATGCCTGGTCTTAGGCTGCCCGGTTATAGGTTATATCCTGGACAGGGAGCTCTTTTCCCTCCCTGGAGATTCGGCTAGGAATGAATCAAACCCCACCCTTAGTCACGCTGACCACGATAATGATACGGGGGCCGAGAGAGTACCGGGGTTAAGGTGCTTGGCTTGCAAACTGTAGACCCCGGATTCGGTCGCTGGCACAGAGTATGTGGTAGCCGTACCACCACCAGAGGTGGGGCACAGAGCACAGAGTCAGAAAAAAAAAAAAGCAAATTTGAATGTGCAAGAATCCCTTCCTATAGTAATATCCTCTCTGATATTCACTGGGTGTGTTCTCTCAGCAGCCAGCAGTGATCAGGGGGAGGCAGACTAGTTCTCACAGTCCAGCGAGGTCAGGGCTGTGGTGGGCTGAGAGCAGGGCTGCAAGAGTCGAGTCCAGGTGAGCTGGGGATGAGAAAAGATGAAAAAGAGAGGTAAAAGGGAAAGGGATCTCTAGTCAGGGATAAAGGACTGGGGAGTTTCACCACGACGTCCTGGCTGTGCTCACTCTTTAAGGGGTGGCTGAGACGGAGAGAAAAGGGTCAAACCCAGAGAGCCCAGGAGGTGAAGCTCAATTCACCCCACACGAGGGACAAAGCCAAGCCGGCTGCTTCCTGGCAAATTCCAAGAAGCTGTCCCTTATTTTTTTAAATGTTGGCATCTGGGCCACACCTGGCGATGCTCAGGGATTAGTCCTAGCTCTGCGCTCAGGATTTACTCCTGGCGGTGCTCTGGGGACCACAAGAGATGCCGAGGACCGAACCCGGGTCGAACACGTGCAAGGCAAGTGCCTACCCCGCAATCGGGCCCCAAACTGTCCCTTAAATGATAGAGGGGACAAACGAAATCGCGAGCGAGTCTGGGGTTCCAGGGCTGAGACACAGCGGGCAGGCGACCTTGGGGGGCGGGTGTTGCGAGGCCCGTGTTGCGGGGCCCGCCCTCCACCCCCTAATGCCCCCTTCCCCACAGGGGGGCTCTGCCTGGACCTGGGCCACTCCCTGCGCTGCCGCTGCCGCGCGGGCTTCGCGGGACCGCGCTGCGAGCACGACCTGGACGACTGCGCCGGCCGCGCCTGCGCCAACGGCGGCACGTGCCTGGAGGGCGGCGGCGCGCGCCGCTGCTCCTGCGCGCTGGGCTTCGGCGGCCGCGACTGCCGCGAACGCGCCGACCCCTGCGCCGCGCGCCCCTGCGCCCACGGCGGCCGCTGCTACGCGCACTTCTCGGGCCTGGTGTGCGCCTGCGCGCCCGGCTACATGGGCCCGCGCTGCGAGTTCCCGGTTCACCCCGACGGCGCGGACGCGCTGCCCGCGGCTGCCCCGGGCCCGCGGCAGGGCGAGGACGCGCAGCGCTTCCTTCTGCCGCCCGCGCTGGGGCTGCTGGTGGCCGCGGGCTTGGCCGGTGGCGGGCTCTTGCTGGTCCATATCCGACGCCGCGGCCCCGGCCGGGACACTGGGTCTCGCTTACTGGCGGGGACCCCGGAGCCAGCGCACACACTCCCCGATGCCCTCAACAACAGGAGGACACAGGACTGTTCCGGGGACGGCCCAAGGTGAGGGGCCGGGCCAGCGACAGTCCAGCTGCCCCCCAGGGTGGCTAGTCTGTGTAATGGAGTTGGCCGGTTCCTCGTCGGACCTTTCCGATTGATCCGTCTTCGGCTTCTACCCCTATTCTTTTTTAATTTACTTTTTTTTTGGGGGGGGTCACACCCGGCGATGCACAGGGGTTGCTCCTGGCTCATGCACTCAGGAATTACTCCTGGCGGTGCTGGGAATCGAACCAGGTCGGCCGTGTGCAAGGCAAACGCCCTACCTGCTGTGCTGTCACTCCAGCCACTCTGAGCCTATTCTGACTGGGTCGTTCCACAGTCGCTGGTTTTGGGATTCCCCGGTGGTGGGAAGGGGAAAAAAAAAACATTAACCGAGAGTTTAGAGCCTGGATTTTTATCCTCTCGCAGCAGACCCTCAGTGGATTGGAGTCGCCCTGAGGATGGAGAATCTCGTACTGTTTACGTCATACCTGCCCCGTCGGTCTATGCTCGGGAGGTACTAGCCCATTCTACACTCCCCGTCTGTAGTATACTGTGAGCACCCTGGCCGGAGCAACCCCCTGCATTTCCTGTGGTCCCTTTTCTCAATCTGTCAAAGGGGGGAAGGGTATAGACACTGGAAGGTTCTTCAGCCCACTTTCTTACGGTTCTGATCATTTCATTCGTCCTTGATTTCACTTGCTGTTCTGAACTGACCATTTTCTCTGAAAGACCGGAGGTCTTTTTCTTTCATATTTCCTCTCCTCTCCCCTATCACCCCTCCCCTCCCCTCCTCCTGGGGGTGGGGTGAGGGGCTCAGCCAAAGCCTCCCTGGTTGTCAGCCCCTGGGAAGAGGGCAGGGCAGGGCTGAGACTGACACTCCCGCTTTGCCTCCCTGCTTCCCTCCCTCCTTATTTGCAGAAGCTCTTCCTTTTCCTTCCTTCCTTCCTTCCTTCCTTCCTTCCTTCCTTCCTTCCTTCCTCTTTTTCTTCCTTGCTCCTTTCTTTCTTTCTTTCCTTCCTTCGTTTGCTTTTTGGGTCACACCCGGCGATACACAGAGGCTACTCCTGGCTCTGCACTCAGGAATCACCCCGGCGGTGCTCAGGGGACCATATGGGATGCTGGGAATCGAACCTGGGTCAGCCACTTGCAAGGCAAACGCCCTACCCGGTGTGCTATTGCTCCAGCCCCTCCCTTCTCTTTCTTACACCATGCAGTACTCGGCATCATTCATGGTGTTGCTCAGGGGACCATCTGTGGTGTGGGGATCAAATCCGGGTTAGCTGCATGTGAGGCGAGGGTCCCGCCTCCTGCACTATCAGTCCCGGCCCAGAAACTGCTGCTGTTTCTAACGCTGCCCCTGCACTGTGTTTCTAGGCCTGACCTGCTCCTTCTCCATCAGCCCCTGGGCATGCAGCCTGGATGTTTTTCTATTTCCTGGGTGCTTCCCAGTCTCTACCTCGGACACGTTGGAGGGCAAAGCTGGAAGTGGTGGCAGGGAGACTTTTACCTCTGGAAGTTGTACATACTGGTTATTTATATGCTGGTTTTCTTTCTCCCCTCTACTCAGTCATTTATGAAAGGTTCTTTGTCTTTGGTGTCGATGCTGCAGGGGTCAGAAACAATCCGGAGGGGCCAGAGAGATAGTACAACAGGTGGGGTGTTTGGATTCCTATTCAGGGTTGGAGTCCTGGCACTCCATACTGTGCCTTGAGCCCTCCAGAAGTGATCCTGGCAGTTGTTGCCCCCCCCAAACACACACACCACACACACACACGAGAGAGAGAGAGAGAGAGAGAGAGAGAGAGAGAGAGAGAGAGAGAGAGAGAGAAAACAATCCAAGTGGTTTAAAAAAATAAAAGGATAAGTTGTTCATTAAAATGACTCCTGTGGTGGATGTCTCTTTAGGGCTGAATGCCTCCAGTGTTTCACTCGTTCCCTCTGAAACGGTCTATAAATGTGGTCTCATTGCACCTGGCTTGTCACGTGATTCAGCAGGTCGGCTTATTCTCACTGACTAGGATCTGCTTCAGAACACTGTATGAAATAATAAGCACAAAGCATCTCCAAACAGAGGCTGGTGGAAGCTGGTGAGATAGTACAGCGGGTAAGGCACTTGCCTTGAACGCAGCTGACCTGCGTTTGATCTTCGACATCCATGAGGTCCCCTGAGCACCGTCAGGAGTGATTCCTAAGTGCAGAACCAGGAGCAAGCCCTGAGCATTACTGGGTGTGATCTAAAAACTAAAAAACAAAACAAACCAAGAGGCTGGCTCCTAACAGAGTTCCAGTAAGCATCTATTCTCTGTATTATGCTAGGAGAGGGAAGCCAATTTTACAGAGGGGCAAACTGGAGTCCAGAGAGGGGAAAACACTTGCCCAGCATCACACAGGAGAGGAAGCCTCTTTCCAGCACTTCCTAGCATTAGAGATCCAAGCCCTCGGTTTAGTACAGGAAGAGTAATCAGGAGCTGGGAGCTGCACGGATCATGGCCTTCTAGGAAGGCCATCTCTGACCTCATTGATGGCTCAGACCCATATCAATATTCTGGTGCACGGCAATTGCATTATGACTTCCTAAGACACTATTTTTGGGGAAACTGGAGTGAAAGATAGAAAGGTAGTTCTCTATTCTCTGAACTATTTTCCCAACTGATTAAATTCTTCTTTCCTCCTCCTCCTCCTCCTCCTCCTCCTCCTCCTCCTCCTTCTTTCTTCCTTCTCCTTTTCTTCCTCCTCCACCTTCTTTTTCTTCTTCCTCCTCCTCCTTCTTCTTCCTCCTCCTTCTTCTTCCCTTCTCCTCCTCCTCCTCCTCCTCATTCTTCTTCTGTTTGTTTTTGAGTCACACCCAGCCCTGCTCAGGGGTTACTCCTGGGTCTTCACTCAGGGATCACTCTGGCAGTGCTGGGGGACCCTATGGGATGCTGGGGATTGTGCCTGACCCGCTGTACTATCTTTCCTGACCCACTGTACTATCTCTCCAGACCCTAAATAAATAAGTCAAAAGGGGCCAGAGACAAAGTCTAAGCGGTAGGTTGCTTGCTTCACAGGCACCACCAGTGTCAATCCTTAGTACCACAAAGGATTCCCGGAGCCCTGCCAGGAGTGCTCTCTGAGCACAGAGCCAGGAGGAAGCCCTGAGCACTGCTGGGTTCGGGTGGGTGTGACCCTAAAAAAGAAAGCAAAATAAAATGAAAAAGACAAGCATTTTATGGAGCACTACTGTGTTGTCTCACCTTGCTCCAGGAGCTGGGGATTGGGCCACAAATAGAAAATTCCTTGGATAAGCCCTTAGCAGATGTTAAGCCCCACGAGGCAGGATGGGGAAGGGGGCTGCCCATTGCTGCACTATGAATTCTTATTTTTGGAGGGGGAGGCTTTTTGGGTCACACCCGTGGGGGTTACTCCTGGGTCTCCACTCAGGTATTATTCCTGAGGGGGTACCATTTGGGATGCCCCAGATGGAACCAGGGTGGACCGCCCCCTCTGTTATGGCTTGGTAACTGAATTCTGACGCCACCAGTTGGTAGCATGGGATATGGGTAGAGTTAGCACTATTACACAGAGCACTGCTACACATCAATTGTTACTATTATAGGGGGCTGGAACCATAGCATAGCGGGTAGGGCATTTGCCGTGCACACGGCTGACCCGGGTTCTATTTCCAGCATCCCATATGGCCCCCTGAGCAATGCCAGGAGTAAACCCTGTGCATTGCCAGATGTGACCCAAAAAGCAAAGAAAAAAAAAAGAGAGAAAATATTTACCATTTTTTTTTTCTTTTTTGGGGGTCACACCTGGTGATGCACAGGGGTTACTCCTGGTTCTTCACTCAGGCATTATCCCTGGCAGTGCTCAGGGGATCATATGGGATGCCGGGAATCGAACCCGTGTTGGCTGTGTGCAAGGCAAACACCCTACCCGCTGTGCTATCGCTTCAACCCCCAAATTGTTACTATTATAAGGACTTTTCTCCAGATCTCTCAGTAGACTTCCCAGTAGACACGTGTGTGTGTTTGTGTGTGTGTGTGTGTGTGTGTGTGTGTGGGCACACCCAGCAGTGTTCAGGGCTTACTCCTAGCTCTGTGCTCAGGGATCACTCCTGTTGGGCGAGGGGGTGACCCTGTGTGCAAGGCAAGCGCCTTAGCCGCTGTACTATCTCTTCAGGCCTTCAGTTATCTTCTAGGAAGTCCTCTCTCATGGCTCTGGACGGGTTCTCACCCCTCTCCTGTGATCCCGAGGGTCCTAGCCCTTCCTCGCCCCAGTCCTACCCACCCGAACTGACACTGCTGGCACTGTGCGGAAGCACAGGGACGATCATCCCTCACGCACTCAGTAAACATGCCCCAAACGCTGCTTGCCCGTTAATGACAGCGAGGGGAACGCAGAGGCGTTCCTTACACCAGTGATGAGAAGGAAGGGAGGGATTCTAGGCATCCACCCCATCCCGGGCCCAGGGCAATCGAATCGAGCCCTGAGTGGAATCCGATGCAACAGTCGCCCCTGATGACCACCACCCTTTTAGAACCTTAGAGCGGGTGAAGTTCCCACCAACATAGGAAGGAGGGCCGGGAGGGATCCCAAGCCTGGTTACCGGGGCCCGTCCCCCACATTCCCGGCACCCATGAACCACCGGGTGCGGACCACAGACCCCGCCTCCATCCGGCACGCAGTCACAGTCCGGTCTTCCACCCCTGCCAGGAACTCGGACCAGAGATGGGTTCCCACCCGGCTTATGGCCCTGGTCCGTACCCCAGACCGGGTCCGGAACCCTACTTCAATGCACGTTCGGGCTCCGACCCAGTCTCCAGTTCCGTTCCAGATCTCTACTCCGGCTCACCTGTCAAGGCCAGTCCACATGCCCCGCACGTCAACTCGCGGTCCGACTTCCATGTCCACTCCGGTCCAGTTTCCGTCTCCGGCCCAAACCCGGCATCCAGCTCAGACCACGCCTCCCGTTCAGATCACACCTGCTGACCAGACCACGCCCCCTATCCAGGCCACGCCTCCCGTCCAGGCCACGCCTCCCGTCCAGGCCACGCCTTCCGTCCAGACCACGCCTCCGACCCCAGCCCCGCCTCTGACCCAGCTCAGGCCTCGAATTCAGTTCCCGCCTCCCATCCAGTTCCCGCCACCCACCCAGATGGCGCCTCCTGTCCAGTTCGTGGCTCCAGTCCAGACACCGAGCCCTGTCCAAACTCCGGTTCTGATCCAGTACCCGAGCCCCATGCATGCTTCAGTCCAGGTCCTACCTCAGGTTGGAGCCTCAACGCTGAACCAGATTCCAACCCTGACTTCTCTTCAAACCCCCCCTCAGCTGGGGCTCGGTACTCTGGTCCAGATCCCAAATCTGGCTCCTCAGTCTGGACCCCAGTTCCCGACTCCGATCCAGAACCTGATTCCCACCCGGACCCCGGTTCCAGCTGCCCAGTCTGGACTCCAGTCCCCTACTCTGACCCAGAGCCTAATTCCCGACCGGACCCCAGTTCCAGTTGCCCAGCCTAGACGCCAGTCCCCTACTCTAACCCAGAACCTGATTCCCACCCAGACCCCGGTTCCAGATCCCCAATCTAGATTCCAGGCCCACACTCTGACCCAGAACCTGATTCCCACCCAGACTCTAGTTCCACCTCCCCAGTCTAGACTCCACTCCCCAGTTGTGACCCAGAACCAGATTCCATCCTGGACCCCAATTCCAATTTCAGCTCCTCAGTCTGAACTGACTCCAGCCCCCACTCTGGACCTGTTCCAGACCCCACCATCAACTTCCCACTGCCCCCCAGCCCTGGTCCTGAACCCGAGCACCACCTCTGCTTTCGAACCTGACCTGAACATCCCAACTTTGGAGCTGACCCCAGAATCTTCTCCAATGCCTGTTAAGAACACGGCTCTGGGGTCGGCGGTGAAGCCCTATCCATTTCTCCACACCAGCGCTCCCAGGCCGGCTCAAGAGCCGCATCCTGCACCCCCACCCTCACTCCCTCCAGCAGGCACAGATTTGCCCACCCAGAAAGCAGACTTGCCAATCAAAATTCCAAAGCTACAAACCGCTTCCAAAGCGGCTTCCCGAGATGACACCCACGGGCTGCAAAGCACTCAGGGTCCTAATATGAAATTCCTGAGGTCACAGTTCTCGCCCACCTTGGGCACCCCCAAGGAGGAGGTGGAAGACGACAACAGGATCACAATCCGAGTGATCTACTGGTGAGGGGGCTGGCCCTGCTCTCTCCCTTGCATGGGCTGGTCCAGGCAGTCTGGCTTTCCCTGGGAAGATTGGGTTCCTGGGGTCAGGATTGCAGCAAAGAGTGAGGGAGGCAGTCAGGAAGCTTCCCAGTTCCAGTTCTCTGGTGGGAATGTGGCTCCACCTTCTAGTTCTGTTTGGTGTCCAGAGGTTCAAATCCCTGTTCCTATTCCGAGGCCTGATTCCTGGCATTGTTTGTTTTGGGTCAGAGCCCTCTGTGCTCAGCACTTACTCCTAGTCTGTGCTCAGGGATCACTCCTG